TTCATTTGACTTCGCTGGATTATTAAACGAACTACGGGAAACTTGTCGAAATGTCACCATTTGTTTAGAGGCATGACGCTGAAACTTACAGAACATTTTGCAGTTTGTACTTCATAAATGGTGCTCTCCTGTTTCTGAAGTTGTTGTTACTCTGTAATTAAGATCCATCTTTGGTCTATATCGCTAATAGTTGTTTTCATCGTCATTTACAAGTAACAATTTTAACAGCAGGGATGTAGAGTTTGGTGACATCGTACGTGTTTGAAACTTATGTTATGTTTCTTGTTTGCTGGCATTGGTCCATGGTTTGCTATTCTCTGTTGCGAGAGTACGATGTCTAGCGCTTTGACTAAAAGTAAGATGAGCGAAACTAAGTTATGGTACACCATCATTACCTGAGAATAAGTCCAAACCCCGAAGAGAAGTAGCCGATCTCTGGGCTTGCTGATACGTATAAGTTGCTAATTGTGTCATTAAATTCGTCAGTGCTCCTTTGCCCTTTCGGTCTTTACCCAGATCGCAGATTTTCGCTGCCTTACTTATCAGTTCAGTTAAATATGATTCCGGATCGTTCGCCAAGAGTTAGACTCTTCGTATATTTTGTTCCTTATATAGATGTGGTTATTATCAGTGAGTTAGCGATGAATTTATTTCTTTTCGTACGTATATTCTTCATCTATGTTGAAAAGCAAGTTTCTTTCCTTGTCTCTTTCAAAATATTTCGATTTTCACGAAATTTGACATATATAGTAAGGATGATCACATATATCGATAAGATAAGATTTTGGCCAGCGTTTCTGACCTTCTTCAACTAAGTGAATGAAAAACTTTAAAGGAATCCTGATTGTAATGGAATGCTAGATTGTAATGTATTTCGGTAGCAAATAATTCTGTTATTTGTTCGTATCATCCGCGATGTCAAGACTTTAGTTGTTTGCATTTCATAAAGCTATTATATTTCATTGTGTTAAATTTTAAAGATTATTTAACTATGCATTATTTCACTTCAGAGAAGATTCCGATTATTTTTCAATATGGCCAGTCATTGAAAAATTGGCAAGTCTCGTTAATTCGTGCAAAACACTAGTTCTTGAAAAATTAGCCCCCGGTATTATTAGCTTTACTAGTATGCAGAAAGTTTTAGCTACTGCCGGTAAGAATAAATATCTTCTGCCACATTTCCGAACCGATTTCACACAGCGCACTTACACCATCCATTTAATCATAGTAGTCTTAAAAACCTTTTTGACAGCTTACAGATCTACGCTGCCGTGAAACCTGCTGTGCCTGTGCGCAGACGCCACCACTTTTCTATGAAACTAATGCTTGTTCCTATATCAACTGATACTTCTGGATCCGTAGGCTACCAGAAACCAGGGGACGATGTGATTATACCCCCTGCGAATCCGGAAAATTAATTGGAGATT